CAATGATACAAAATCTACTTATTTTCAAATCAAATCTAGACTAATTGTATGCTGAGAACGACGTTGTTGTCACCTGTACCTAAGTTTAGTAATGAAAGTCGTGCCGGTACAAAGTTTTTGTTTCAATTGTCATGACGGTACAGAATAAATCTCAGAAGTTGTGTACAGTACGAGGCAGACCGAATGCTTAGTGGAGGGTGTGGAATGACACAAATTAAAACTTCTACTGTTTCTCTGTATCTGTCTTCTTAACTTCTACTGTTTCTCTGTATCTGTCCTCTTAAATTCTACTGTTCCTCTGTATCTGTCCTTTTAACTTCAACTGTTTCTCTGTATCTGTCCTCTTAACTTCTACTGTTTCTCTGTATCTGTATCCTCCTAACCTCTACTGTTTATCTGTTTCTGTCCTCTTAACTTCTACTGTTTCTCTGTATCTGTATCCTCCTAACCTCTACTGTTTATCTGTATCTGTCCTCTTAACTTCTTCTTTCTGTTTCTCTGTATCTGTTCTCGTAAACGCTACCCTATGAAAACGCTACCCATGAAAACGCTACACTATGAAAACGCTACACAATAAAAACGCTACCAAGGCTAATTTGCTGCTATTTTTAGATGAGAACTATTATGATTAATGATGAGACATTAAATTATTAATTGTATCAAATGAAATGAGAGATATTGTTTACATATTCGTTAATATATAAATATATCTAATAAAATTACATTAAATCATGGAGATAGATAGATAGATAGATAGATCTGAGAATTTCTTGTACTGTGAAGCCAGCATATAGATCTGAGAATTTCTTGTACTGTGAAGCTAGCATATGTTGCGATGACTGTGTAGAATAAAATCCACTTGTTCAAAGTTGTAATATACATTTTAAGATATAATTGTAGATTATTATTAAATACTTTCATGTATCAAAACTTGGGGCCTAATCTAATATATACGTAGTCATTCGTTCACATAATAACTACGCAAATCCTGTAATGCGATTAACCCATTCCATGTTCGTAGATAGACATAACTTTGTCAGCCTTTTTTGGTCCAGCCGTTTGGCCAGCTATAGCTTCATTATATAGAAGATCTCTCTCAATAGAAGTAGTTTTTGGTAAAATATGTTCATTTATCATTTTTTTCCATTACCCCCGGCCTTATTTGCTATGGAATATTTAATGAAATTTGAAGTAAATAATTGCTTTTTCTACATTATACAGCGTTGCGTAAAATTAACGCTGATTTTTTTCTAATCAAAAAAAGAAGCTCAAAAAAGTGCACAAACGTGAAACAAAAATCTTGTTTGGGCGGAGATGTCATGTATGCATTTTACTTAAAATGTCGTATTTTGCCCAATCTAAATCTATGTATATCTATATATCTTTAAAAATCTATGAATTTATAAAAAAGAGTCTCCAATGAAAGCTAGGAGTGATGATAACTTTTCACCAGACTCCTCACCGTAACGTTAAAGAACTCACGAGGAAGATCGATTTGGAGGTTACAAAACTTAAAGTTATTGCTGTCAGGTGTTCCGTAATAATAGAATTATATTAACTTGTAAGGGCGGCCAGCCTCCGTATTTTTTATTCACCAGATGTTATAGTTTGTACTTTTATTGATAAATTGTTAATGGAAAAGTTTTCCCGGGGTTTTGTCTAGTTTATTAAGTACAAATATATTATGTTTCTTTGTGTGAATAACCTTCTTTTTAAAAAAAAACGGATTTGAGGTCCAAAAAAGAATTTGGGCCCGAGTGATCTATTGGAGACAGACAAACAAACACACAAGCCAAATATATTTAGAATAAATTAAAAATGAATTGTAAGAAAAAGGTTTGTCGAAAATCCTTCAGAACACAAAGTTTTCGGTCAAGAAAAAAATTAAACCTATATAAAAATGATATAATAGAGTTTCTAATAAAATTTTGATCCCAAAATCTAAAAAAGAAACATGTTTTTAACGCTGATTTTTTTTGGAAACCACATGTGTAATAAAAAAGTTGTTTTATGCATATCAATTGGCAATACTTAACCTATTGTTTTACCAGTAACTTGAAAATCAACGCATTAAAGGGAGTGACCGGCAATGTACGATAATTCAACTGAGATTACAGTACTATTGAGAATTTTTTTTAGGTTTCATTTGAGACTTATCGACGTTTTTACGGTGCATATTTGTTCAGTAAGAGCGTAAATGCGATATTTTAAAATTCTCATTGATTGTCGATTTAGAAGGGATGATTTTGAGAATCGGTTTTATTTAAATTATTCAAAACGAAGAAGAAAATTGTAACAAAATGTCTATAGTGAACTAATTAGATGTTTAGGAACATAATTGTTATTAGAAATTTATCAATAAATCAATTGTTTCTTTTGAATTTTCTTTTACATTGTTATATAGAATTTTCTTTTACATTGTTATATAGAATTTTCTTTTACATTGTTATATAGAATTTTCTTTTACATTGTCGTCATTGAATAATTGAAATAAAACCTATTCTCAAAATCATCCTTCCGAATGGACAATATAGGAGGATATCAAAGATTGCATTTACGCTCATCTTGCTGGACCGTAAAAATCTCCGATAGGTACCAAATGAAGCTTAAAAACTCAATCAATATAATACTGCACTCTAAGTTTAAGTACCATACATTGCCGGTCACTCCCTTTTAGAAAAATATAGCTAGGTCTGTAAACGCCGTGGTTTTATGCTCTTGGGATTATTTAAATTCAAAATTTAAATCTTAACTGTCGTCTACACCATTAAAATGGAAAAGAAATGTTTAAACAACATCAGAGACTTTCTGATGTATTAATAAACTTGTGTGTGTGCGTGTAAGCCACACACCGAAAATATGTTTTTATTGGCGAATGAACAATGAAAAAAGAAAGGTTATTAAACTCGACTTTTTAAAACTTTATTATCAACATTATAAATTACAATATCTAAATTTGGTGAGTTTCAATATGAGATCAGTTTTATATATATAATTAAGTAAATATTTGACATCTATGTTTTAATGTTTTTTCCTCGTTTTCGAACAAAAAAAATTTGAAGACACTTTTTACAGGAAAACAAAACTCATTCATTGAATTTTTTTATCTGCAGTGTTAGCTTAAATCTTAAAGCTAATGAACAGGTTAGATAACATCAAACACATTCACATTGAAGGACTTGAATAATCTTCATAAATTGATATGGTTTAAATTTTACATGAGATAGCAGGTAACCTTCATGGGAATGACAATTGTGTATTTTATACTCTCTCATAGCTTTATCCCAAATGTTAAATGTCACATGCACACAATACACATGTGCAATGTTGATTTGTACATAAATGCAAACAGAGGCGTGTTTAGGGAGGGGGTGGCTATTGGGGCTTAGCACTCCATGACAAATGAAATCTATAGTTTTCAGGGGGTTTTCAGGTCCCAAAGGGTGCTAAGTCCCCAACCCCCATTGAAAGAAAAAAAATTTTGAAAATTTTTTGAATACAACCCTGAATGCATACACTGAAAGTTGAGTGATATGACATGTGTGAGATGAAAGATGGAGGGGGGGGGGACCAAACTGTTGTTTAGGCGAAATTATTTCTGCCTGAAAAACGTATAACTGAGACATGATTCCCCTCCATGGAGCTCGGCTTCGTGAGATCATTACAGTGCTCCAGGTAGAATTCTGAGTAGCAGTCTGTTGTGGATAAATCCAATGGTTCTTCGCTCTTTATCCCAGCTAAGGGGGGAATAGGGAGGTTTTCTTCAGCAGATCCTAGTTCTAAGGAGGGTGCTGGAGCATAATTAAATGCGTTCTCATAAGTTTCAAGCTTTTTCAGACCTGTCTCTACATTCCCATACTCAACACTAAACAATACACTTTTAGAATCCTGAATCTTTTTAGAGTTTAAATCAAGGAATTTCAATCAACTGGATTAATCGATAAAGTTTGTACACCAAGTTACTTAAATAATAACTTAAAGTTGATAGAAATCAAGATTATGAAAAATGTTACTAAAGTTATTACCATGGTTGAGAAGTTACTCCCTGAAACCGTGAAATCTGATCGATATATTAAGAATTTCAGTAATATTCTTTAAAAAAGATTTCATTGGAAATATAGCACACAGAGATTATCAGAAATATCTCTGAACACAATTATTTAGAATACAGTGAAAACCGTTCATTAGTATTTTAATTGTCATTATTGTCATTTTGAGCTCTTTATTTTATTTGAAATACCACTAAGATATCTGAACTAGCAATTGAACTTGCACCTGAAGTCGAAATTGAAACGGGAAACTTTTTAAAACAGCTCAATCATTTTTACAGAATCCCATCGGATATCCAGAAGAATTTAATTTACATATCAAACTACATAAAACATGGATTTGAGCTTTATCAGAGGGGATTAAGAATTAAAATGCACCCACCCCAGGACATTTTGGCAGAGATGTATTAATAAGAAAAACAACGGTATTGTCCCAAAGACATTTTCCCAATGGCAACTTCCCAAGTGACAGTTTTCCAAGTGGAAACTCCCCAAATGTGACATTTCCAAACAGCAACTTCCCAACGGTTAGATAAGGCCTTCTGAGGCACCGCAGGCTGCAAGGGGTTGGGGGCTGTGCGCATGCGACTAGAATAGGCTAGAGGGACGAGCGTTGTGGCTAGAACAGGCTAGAAACCAAGCGCTGTTGCTAGGACAGACTTGGGAAGTTGCCTCTTGGGAAATTGACCATTTGGGAAGTTGCCACGTTAGTAAAATAACCCTGGGAGGTTGGTGCTTGGAAAAATGTATTTGCGAAAGTACCCGACATCAAATACAACATCCTTATCCTTCCTTATATGTACTATTGCTCTATTTGCAACTTAAAGAAAGAGAAACAACTAACTTTCATTCTGTTCAATAAATTAACATCATTTTGACGTAAAATAAAATCAAAATTGGATTGTGAAGTAAATGACTGCTTTGCTATGTGTTTAAAATACTACAATAAAACTCTGAAAACTTACTTATCATAGCACTAGTTAGATGAGAGTGTATGCATTCTCATCAGTGTTATGTAGAGTAACTTCAGACCCTCTCAGAACTGTACTGAGAAGGTCCAGCTCTAGTCTGCAGAACACCGGTGAAAATGAATACACTCTCATCTGAATGGTACTTCAATGACTAAGCTAAGTATATTCAAAACAGTGCACCAAAAAAAAACTAATCTCTTCCAGTTACAGATGTGCAGAAGTTCTGAATTGATTTGAGCATACCTTGTTCCAAACTGGGAGATCCGCTGTACAAGATCAGAGAAACTCTTCTGTCTATCTCCAGAAATACTGTACATAGGAGGGAAGGGTCCGAACAGGGGCTGGTGAAGAAAGGCATCTCTGAAGGGAACTGAGCTCGGAATGGGTTGAAGTGGTGGGAGAAGGTTATGGATTGGGTAGATGGGTTTGAGAGAAGGTATTCCAGGTTCTTGTTTCATTTTGTACATTTTAACCTCCGGTAAGGTTGAAGTTGGAATGATGTTGATGTTGAAACGATCCTCTGCCTCTATCCCAACTCTACCAACATATCCTGCGTCCTGTTTTCCACCAAGATACAGACTTGTGGCATTATGTGGTTTGTGAGCCCTAGATTCAAAACCAGGTATCCGATTATATATGGCTGACTTTGCCTCTTGATGAAGAGTTTGCAGCATTTTTCTGGAGTTGTAGAAAGACAGCTTATCCCCGTCATTGAGGTGTAAAAGTCCAGGGAAAGAAAGGGTATCTTGACCTATTTGGGGTGGACCATTCTCAACCCCTCTTGAACTTTGGGATACACCAGGGTGTAAAGCAGATTCTCTGAATTGAAATGGGTTTGTGGATTTAGAAAAAGCTGGAATGGGCTCCAAGCTCGGAGGCTCCATAAAGAGTGGCCTGAGATTCTTAACGTCGGGTTTCCTCTCAATTCCCGAGAACCCTGATGAGCTTTGATCAGCATTGGCCTCAGACAACGATTTGGCCTTGTAATATTTTTTTAGATACTTAATTTTAGATTTCTCCTCGGCTTGCCGCTTTTTCTCAGATGCAGAATGTCGAGAGGTTTGGACCACAGGGCTTCCGTTGTTCTTCAGTTCTTCGTCCTTAGCTAAAATTCACAAGTTAGTTTTAATCCATTTTGACTATTACCACTAAGATAAAATAACTTACCTATTTTCTTCCAAAATCGTTTTTTCTTTTTATCTTCATTAAGAACCAGCTCAGGCCTCATGCCAGAAAGTAAACAAGCAGCATATCTGTAACATCAAATAAGGTTAAATAAAAAAGTAAAATGGGTTCAAATGTGCATCGATCTGCTGTTATCAAACAAGGCTAACTGAATGTTGAGCCAATGAATGCATTGTCTGGCTTAAAAGTAAAGATAACGATGTAATTTGAATAGAAAAGCTTTTATTTAATGTGGTTTGAATAATTGGTATAGTTTGATTTAAATTGGTACGGTTTGGCTTGGTATTGTATGGTAAAATTTGGTTTGGTTTGATTTGGTTTGGTTTGGTTTGGTTTGGTTTGGTTTGGTTTACCTGCATGGAATGCAATTCTTCCTTCTCCACTCTTCTACATCACATTGACCACCAGCACTGCAAATTCATTTCCACATTTTTAAAGGTAATAAATTTTGGACCAACATAATTCATTTGATATAAAAGATTTTAATAAATACTTTTGTAAATCTGCCTAAGAATGAATTTCATGTTTTGTTACTTCTTAGAGGCTATAGCTAAAAACAAGTGCTTTATAGACAGTTAATAATGTACAAATTTAGGGCTACAGAAAAGAATAAGTGAGTTAGAGCAGTAACATCAAAGCCAAAAGCGTTTGACACATAAAAGTCGACCCTTCAGTCTTGAAAATAGATGCAACATTTCACTGCAGACTGAATCTATGTAGAAAATTTCTTAATACTCTCAGAATAAACTATATATATGTTTACGAATAAATATAAGGGTTCCTTCCAGAACAATAATAACTGAGAAGGAGGGAAGGCATGTGTCTTGTTGCCCCCTACCCCTGTAAGATCAAATAAAATAATTATAATCAATTTATTTTGATACTGGGAAGGGCATCTGTTATGTGCACCTGTTTAATTTCCTAGTTTCATTTAGCGGAGGCCGAATTTAAAGAATTTGAGCCGCAGCTTAAATTTAAGTCGCAGCTCAAATATGGTTGCTTCCACTTAAATTGGTATTCAATTTTTCAAGTTTTAAGCCAGCGCTCAATTGAAGCCTGTTTTGGAGGGATATTTGAGACACGGCTCAAATTCATTAAATTTGGACTCTGAACTTATAATTGCCAGTTAATAAGAACAAATTTGTCAGTTGTAAAAGTTAAAGGGTTAAACTTGATGAATTGAATATCATTATCTCCCTGTTAAAATACTAAATACCTGCAGAGTTTGTTTGTACCACTAGCCAACTGTACTCTACGGCGGAAAAACGCTCTACATGAGTAGCAAGAGAACCCTAAATTATATGATGGATTAATTGAGCAGAGAAAACTTTAAATACTTATTATAAGTTGTCTGCAACGTTTAGAAAAGACATTTAGAAAAATATTATTTGAAAAATGTCATCATCAATCAGATTTTCTATAAATATTATAATTACAAACTTATTATGATTTAAAAAAGCTGGTTTGACATATTACTGTGATAAATTAGGACAAAAAGTGCGGAATTGCACTGAATTGCGATGAGATTACAGGGCCTGCAATTGCGCGCAAGAAAAAAAGGGTTAAATGCCCTCAGCAGTACAAAGGTCTGGGCTTGTGTTGTTTAACAAACCAACAAATTCCCCTGGTGTCGTTTAGCAAATCAACAAATTCCCCTGGTGTTGTTTAGCAAATCAACAAATTCCCCTGGTGTTGTTTAGCAAATCAGCAAATTCCCCTGGTGTTGTTTAGCAAATCAACAAATTCCCCTGGTGATGTTTAGCAAATCAACAAATTCCCCTGGTGTTGTTTAGCAAATCAACAAATTCCCCTGGTGTTGTTTAGCAAATCAGCAAATTCCCCTGGTGTTGTTTAGCAAATCAACAAATTCCCCTGGTGTTGTTTAGCAAATCAGCAAATTCCCCTGGTGTTGTTTAGCAAATCAACAAATTCCCCTCTTCTCGTTCTAAACACATTGGATAAAATAATAAGCAAGTTATACCTCCATAGTGAAACCTTCTCTTTGGCATAGGTTGATGGCAAACTGCGCAACGGGTTCTGTCATCAAAGCCCAGGATAGATTCTACACTGTGAGAATGAGTTCGACCTTTAGATAGCTCTGTAGCTAGCTCCAAGAAATTCTCTGCGTTGTTTTCTAACTCCATTGAGTCAATAGTTGGCTCTTCCGGTTTCTGACTTCTTGATGACTCTCTGCTTTGCCACATTAGCGAAGAGCCCAAGTGGAGCTCTGATCCTAAAGCCTCCTGGATGTGATCTGATCTCCTAGCCTCCTCCTGGCTGTGACCAAATTCCTCAAACTCTTTTAAATGCCGTGTAGGTTTATCATGACGTTCCAATCTGTCCATGACTGTACAATCTTAAAAAAAAAGAATTCTTTACTGCAGATGTAATAAATATCATAGTAAACCCTATATCTGTAAACTTGAACATGCCTGCATATGTATATATATTAAGTTGTACATTGACTGTAATCCAACTACGCTCATTATTAATTATTATGTTTGTAGATACCTATGCAAAACTTGTAATCACGTTTTAACTTAACAATGTATGTTTGTAAATAGCTATGTGAAATTTGAAATTACGATGAAACCTAACATAGAAACTCAAATAAACGTTAGTTGGAATAATACTAATAATAATAATGGATTGATTATGGTGTGAGAGTAATTTGTTCCTTGTTTAGCGAACAAGAGGAGACCTGAGTCACAACTTGAAAGATATGCTAGGAATTGTATCTTTATACAGATACCTGAGAATACAGATAGAGTTGTATCTGGATTGGTATTGGATAAATATATATACAGGGCGAGTCAAAAAAAAAGTGTGATTTGCGGCGCCTGGTGCAAAAGTGTAGTTTTTTTTGTGCAACTCTTCTGTATGGTGTTTTTTTAATATTTTTTGAAAATTTGTATTTTTTTGGTACTTCAATGGCCCAAAATAAAATCCGCGGATCTTTTTTTCTTTCAAAATCAAAAGTTCAGAAAAATAAAAATGTGTAAATAAATTGTTTCTATCGAAATCTTTTTAAAATTTTAAAAAGATTGAAACACAGAATCTCAGAAAATTTGCAAAATTGTAATTAGAAAATTCGCAATTTTAAGTTCTGGTATAATTTTTACGGAAAAATTGTTTTTCAATGGTTCTCAAGGTTTCAACTGAACAGCATATATTTAATACTTTAGAATATACTCAGAAGAAAGGAACTAGAGAATTTAAATAACTTTTCCTTAAAAATTAGCCCAGAACTGAAAATTGCGAATTTTCTTATTACAATTTTGCCAATTTTCTGTGATTCTGTGATTCAATCTTAATAAAATTTTAGATTTAGAGAGATATAATATGAATGCACATTTTTGCTTTTCTGAACTTTTGATTTTGAGAGAAAAAAAGATTCGCGGATTTTCTTTTGGGCCATTACCAAAAGAAACTTACAAATTTTCAAAAATACTGGGAAATATATAGAGGGTATTGCTGTGAAGTGGAGATACGACTCTTTACATTGATGGAAGTTCACTTGTAATGACGTCTTTTTAATTTAAAAACTATGTTTTACTTTTAATAGGTTTTGGATTAAAATATTCAGTCCGACGCTGGGTTCATTTCAATTGATAATGGAGTTTGTTCAGTGTCTGTATCTTTTACTCGTAGTCGGAGCAAATGATACAGACACTGAACAAACTCCACACTTGATACTTTTCAGTCGGAAACTCGATCAAGGTAGGAAATACGGCTACGCCCTTTTCCTATAAACAGCCAGAATTTTTTTTAGGCTTTATTCCATGTAATGGACAAGTGCGTCATATGGAATTTTATTGGGAATTTTAAAAGTGTCAAAACAGCAATATTATAAGATAAAAGAAATAAGAAGAAAACCCCTAAAATAAAGAAGTAAGCTTAATTCTATTTAGAACATAAAACTGCAGTGTTCACCCCTCCTTATGACCCCCCCCCCTGAAAAACAAAAAAAAACAAAGTCATTTCATACTACTCAAATAATTATCAGGAACTCACATTGCTTTGTTTACAAATAAAGCGTATTGCAGTTTTTGGGAGGAATTTAAATAAAACGCACTGCTGCTCAGGCTTAACTTTGTTTACATTCCCCTAAAACACTGCAGTACACTTCTGTGATGAAAAAAACTAGCAATCCGTAGCAGTTTTTTTTACAAAATAGCTAGCTTTGTTTACAAAAAAAGTGTACTGCAGTATATTCAATTTTCATTGTAGGTAAATGCAGTACAAAACAAAACGTGAAAGAGTCACATAGTCCAATATATGTTGTGCAGTACATACAAGCTGTGCACAAGTTGATCAGAATACAAGTTGATTAGAGTACAAGTTGATTAGTACAATTTGATGAATACAAGTTGATTAGTACAAATTGATGAATACAAGTTGATTAGTACAAGTTGATGATACAAGTTGATTAGAACACGTTGCACAAGTCCGGCATCATGTATCCGATAGCATCCGTACAACCAGAGCAAACATTGCTTTCAGGTACACGTTCAACGGATGGCATTTCAGGGCATGCTGTTCTGAATTCAGGGAAACTTTCTGTGGATGGCATGCACAAGTCTGGCATCATGCATCCGATAGCATCCGTACCAAGTTTACAAGTTGATCAGTAGATAAGTTGATCAGTATATATAATACAAGTTGATCAGAGTACAAGTTTACTCATACAAAATTGTCAGAGTACATGTTGATCAGAGTACAAGTTGACACCAAGTTTATACAAGTTTACAAATTGATCAGTGCAAGTTGATCGGAGTACAAGTTTATCAATATACAAGATGATCTGAGTACAAGTTGATTAGAGTACAAGTTGATCAGTATGCAAGTTGATTAGTACAAGTTTATGAGTACAAGTTGATCGGAGTCCAAGTTTATCAATATACAAGATGATCTGAGTACAAGATTAGAGTACAAGTTGATCAGTATGCAAGTTGATTAGTACAAGTTTATGAGTACAAGTTGATCGGAGTCCAAGTTTATCAATATACAAGATGATCAGAGTACAAATTGATTAGAGTACAAGTTGATCAGTATGCAAGTTGATAAGTACAATTTGTTTAGTACAAGTTTATAAGTATAAGTTTATCAGAGTTCAAGTAGATTAGTACAAGTAAATGAGTATAAGTTGATGAGTACAAGCTAAGGAGTACAAGTTGATTTGTACAAGTTGATTTGTACAAGTTGATTAGTACAAGTTGATTAGGACAAGTTGATTAGTACAAGTTGATTAGTACAAGTTGATAGTACAAGTTGATGATACAAGTTGATTAGTACAAGTTGATCAGAGTACAAGTTGATCAGTACAAGTTCAGCAGTATAAGTTGATCAGTATACAAGTTAATTGGTACAATTTCATCAGAGTACAAGGTGATCAAAGAACATGTTGTGCAGTACAAGTTGAGCAGTAAAAGTTGAGCAGTACAAGTTGACCAGTACAAGTGGAGCAGTACAAAATGATCAGTATACAAGTTTATCAGTATACAAGTTGATTAGTACAAGTTTATCAGAGTACAACTTGATCACAGTACAAGTTGATCAAAGTACTAGATGGAGTAAAAGTTGATCAGAGTACAAGTTGATCAGAGTACAAGTTGATCAGAGTGCAAGTTGATTAGAATACAAGTTGTGCAGTATAAGTTGATTACTATAAGTTGATTATACAAGTTGATCAGTAAAAGATGTGCAGTACAAGCCGTGCAGTACAAGTTGTGCAGTACAAGCCGTGCAGTGCAAGTTGTGCAGTGCAAGTTGTGCAATGCAAGGAACTATATTTCTTTGTGCAATGCAAGTTGTGCAGTTCAAGTTGTGCAGTACAAGTTGTGCAGTACAAGTTGTGCAGTACAAGTTGTGCAGTACAAGTTGTGCAGTACAAGTTGTGCAGTTCAAGTTGTGCAGTACAAGTTGTGCAGTACAAGTTGTGCAGTACAAGTTGTGCAGTACAAGTTGTGCAGTACAAATAGTGCAGTACGTTGTACTTCAAAACTTGCTTGCTGATGGTGAAAATTATGCATTCAAAACAATTGTAATATCGTGGATGAAAATAATTATAATTAGGAATATGGTTTTTATTATTCAGAGCATTCGTTTAAAAGAAAACTGCAAAATTCTAAGAATTAAAAATGTATCCTATAAACTTAAAAAATGAGAATTATGAGCGAATGATAAGAACAATACAAAACAATAGAATTGCTGTCATTTATGTACAATAAATAATTTAAAATTTTGTGGAGAATTTTAGGATCTAAATTAAATGTTGGCATTTTGTTCATGTTTTAACCTTAGTTGCTTGAGGGATTTGTAAACAAAAACAGTAAGCATAATTTGGGTTTCTAAACACCCAGGCCTGTCGTATTTTAACTGCTCTGAACCATATGCATTAAAAGCGCTTAACAAAAAATCTAAAATAATTTAAAATTATTTCAATATCACAAACATAATTTTGTTCAAATTTTTACGAACCTTTTCAAGATTAAAATTAGATCTGAAACCATTCAAAATTTGATATGAACGTTGTACGGCATCATGTAATGTACGGCATCATGTAATGTACGGCATCATGACATGTACGGCATCATGACATGTACGCCCTCTAGAGTAAATATAATTTAAAAATCAAAAGTGTAAAAGCGGAATTTAATGCAAAATCAAGATTCATAATCAAATTGAAAGAAAACAAATTTTACGATTAAAAAATTGGAAAATACCTTCAATGTCCCTCCGTCTTCTAGTATATGATATATCTATATAACACGCTCTACTTGTTACTCTTCTCGTCTGCGCGATACACTGCCGACTGTTCGGTTAGTACTGATCTAATAGTACAGAAAAGGAGTTATTTAAGTTAGAAACGATAGATAGATAGAGAGAGAGAGAAGGATAGATAGATAAAGAGAGAGAGCGGACTCCCTGATGGAAATTTTCCGCAGGAAAAAAAATTTAAAAAATTCTTATTTGAAATGCTTAAAAATCTATTTTTTTCGGAACAATAAAATTGAATGACTGCCGCGTAGAGTTACTGTTCCAAGTCCCTGCGTAGACACTATCCTCAGTAAGTACAAGTGGTTAAATAGTACGAAAGTAATGCAATGAAATGCTGGTGAAAGGTCGGCGGCCTAAATTATTTATGGCAAGTTTCTATATCGACATATTGTTGCCATGCTTTAAAAAATTGTCCAATGCTTGGCTTAAAAAAATATTTATTACATGAAGGACATATGTTTAACAAGTTTTGGCTTTGGGGGGGGGGGGGGGTATTTTGCGCCCCCAGAATTTTTTTTTGCAAATTGCAAATTGCAAGAGGGCGAAGTAAAAAAAAAAAAACTTTTAAAAAAAATTGATTACTAATTATTGATGCATGAAAACATCATAATAGTATTCAAAGTGCACATAATTAAGCGCATTGAATATACGTTACATACATATTCCGGCAAGGGCGTCTACAGAAATAAATTAGGCCAAATTTGAGCGAAGCGCCAAAAAATTTTGCCGCCCCCCCCCCCCTTAGGAGATCCTAAGGGGGACCAAAATTTGAACTGTAAATTCAAAACATTTGGCTTCTTGAATATCTGGCTTGAGTACAAGATACTTTAAAGCCACACATACGGTCCAATTACCTTGCAAGTACTACTTTATCTCTTTTTTAAACAAAACCAGCAGAAAAAAACTTGTTTCTAAAAATCTACATTTTATTATATTGTTATGTTTAGTTAGTATTTAAACTAGATATAGTAAAACACATTGTTTGAAGATGAAAAACCCAGCTTAAACTTTAATTCTATGAGATGAAAAAAGGACAAAGGTCCAGAAAATAATTTTGACTTGTAAAAGTTTCTGTTTTGCAAAAAAAAGTAGGAGTACAATTGCAATCTACATAATAAAGCTCAGTCACTTCGTTTATTTATATGTGGGATAGCTCTGAGTTCTAGGGGGGGGGGACTGCCCCCTTGCCCCCCTGTATACGCTCTTGTCAGATAGCTTAAGTTCCAATTAACTTTAAAAGGGTGAATTTCGTAGCCCAGACCACTTTGACTTAGAAAACACATAAAATTATAATTTTTCTCTCAAGTTCAATCGTTTTTATGTTTTTATGTTTTTATGTTTTTATGTTTTTATGTTTTTAAGTTTTTATGTTTTTATGTTTTTATGTTTTTATGTTTTTATGTTTTTATGTTCCTATGTTTTTATGTTTTTATGTTTTTATGTTTTTATTTCGCCCTTTTTTGGAAAAAAATGGTTGAGTAACTTACCGCCACAGTACATTTTACTGCACATAATACTGTGCAGTGTACTGTACAGGAAAATTACACTTCTTAGAATATTTTTTTAATTAAAAGCTTTTAGTAATGTACAGTAATAACCAGAAAGCTTTGGAAAAGAAAGTCGACTCAAGTTGTGACATTAAATTGTGCAACGGATCCGACTTGAGGTACAGCAATTGTGCAGTGCAAACAGGCCCAGTCAATAAATAATTTAATAACTTTATATAAGTAAATTTATTTGCTTTGCAGTTCACTTTTCTGTATCGCTTTAATGTCGTCTTTCTATACTACAGTTTTCTGGTTATCACTGTGCAATGTAACATGTAAGACTCGTGGGATGTACCGAGGAACAATAACAACAACTTCCTACTGGGGAAACCTTGAAACAACATTTGGCTTCATCTGCGTTCCTGAAGAGTAGTATATTTTTAAACCTCCTCTATAGCGACCATTTAAGCGCCCATTTTTTCTATGAAATTGTGAAACGATCAAATTTGCGGATTTTTCTGTAAACATGATGGATTTCTTAAGTTCTATACATTTTTTCAGGGAACATTTTTCTCTTTTAACTTAACCTAAACATTTGAAGTGTCAAGTGAGTTTCCACAAAAAGTGAGTTTGATCGGTTTCGCTATTTTGACATTTACTGAATACAGACTTCACCGCACATTTAATAATCTTTAAACTTTATGCATTAAAAGTTCTAATTTAAGATATATTAGATTGTCGTGTTGTGATTATTAATTTATGGACAAAATATCAAGAAGGAAAAATTATTTTAAAATAAGTTTTTTAATCTTATCAAAACTTTTCAACCAAAAAAAACTTAATTAATTTTGTTTTCAGAGTTTATCAAATCTAGTTTAAATAATGTTAATAATCAGATCAGAAAATACAAGCTACACACAAACAAATAGGTTTTAGGAGAAAGACGAACACTTTTGAAAGAATCATATTCTCGTGAGGAGAAGAAGAATTTAATACATTTCAATGTTTTGTTTTAAGTGCAGCTTCAAAGATGTCAACGTTCAAGCAAATTTATCAAAATTATGACATACTATACTCTTAAACCCTGACAAAAAATAGGGAAAACAACTTTTGAGAAAAAAACGTTTCTGAATTGTTCAAGCTAAGTGAAACCAAAACTTGGTAAATTTTAAAAGAAAGAAAAAACACTATGTTGTTATTTAGACAAAAGAAAGTACGATGTCAGCTTCTATTAAAAATGACAAACTAACAAGTGTGCAGTATAATGTATACTGCACGGGATTAAATATTTTTGTATTAATATTTTATAAATATTAATAGTATTAGTACTGCATCAGTGTGGAATCAAGAGCTCTCCTCCACACCCCAGATGCACAATGGTATTCTTTAAATCCAAAACCATCAATGATTTTTATCCCATGCTTTTTATAAAAGGACTTGCAGATTTCTACAGCAGATTAAAGGGAATGATAACAGGATAACAGGATAACTGGATAACAGGATAACTGGATAACTGAATAACAGGATAACAGGATAACAGGATAACAGGATAACAGGATAACAGGATAACAGGATAACAGGATAACAGGATAACTGGATAAACAGAATAACAGGATAACAGGATAACAGGATAACAGGATAATAGGATAACAGGATAACAACAGGATAAACAGGATAACAGGATAACAGAATAACAGGATAACAGGATAACAGGATAACAGGATAATAGGATAACAGGATAACAGGATAAACAGGATAACAGGATAACAGGATAACTGGATAACAGGATAAACAGGATAACAGGATCACAGGATAACAGGATAATAGGATAACAGGATAACAGGATAACAGGATAACAGGATAAATAGGATAACAGGATAACAGGATAACTTCCTAAATGTGCAATTTCTAAAGCTGCAATTTCCCAAAGGTTAGGTTAGGCCCTCTGAGGCGCAGCAGGCTGCAATAGAGGCCAAGCGCTGCGGCTAGGCTAGGGGCCGAGCGCCGCGGCTAGGACAGACTTGGGTAGTTGCCGCTAGGAAAATTGCACATTTGGGTAGTTGCCACTTGGGAAAATACCCTTGGGAAGTTGCCACTTGGGAAAAATCCTTTGGGAAAGTACCTAATATCTGTTTCACATTGCTTTGTTTAATATAAGATTTTGGACATGTTTTTTTTTAGATTTCCCCCCTCGAAAATATTTTTTTCCGGACTTTAATTCCTGTGATCCTTTTCTCTCAAAACATTTTTGGCAGTCCCCAGTCCCCCCCCCCTTATTCAGAAAAATATACAATACACGAATCAAAAATGAAAACTGAATTTTACTTTCTTTTGACATTTCCTTTAAAACTGCCAGGAGTTTATTTCAGGAACTTTTTGCTGATAAATTCCTTCCTCAATGTTGCTTACTTTTGTGAATTAAATGTGTACGCAAGAAAATAAGTTCTATGCAAAAGTTTTATTAAAGTCGGGTGTAAAAAGTACTGACTTTTTGAAATTTGTCCCTATTTCATTCTAAGGTGAAAAAAATCAGAGAAATCTAATACCTGGACTTGATAAATTGATTTTATTGATTAATTTATTGATCGAGAATGTGATCGATCCTTATCTCTACAGAATCACAAGTAGGGGCGACCACACGGTGCCCCCCTTCCCCAGTTACGGCCCTAATTCTGTAACAGAGTGTAATTTTCTGCATATAATTGTGTACACCGTATTACTTTCTCTAGAGCTGCCTATAAGCCGGCGCGGTGTAGGTAACCGCCCAAAAAGTTTTCTGCAGAAAGTTTTCGTGAATAAAGTCCAAAGCCCTGAAAAAGTCCTGTAGAAAAAAGTCCTATTATCTTTTTTCTATTTTATTTTTATTTTTAATAAAGTCCTATTATATGCAAAACTAGAGATTTGGCTGGTATAAAAAAGAAAATTGCAAAAAGATAGTTGCAGCTCTGGGCAATTTTCTCCCGTGACTTTCTTACATAGATTCAAGTCAGTACGGTTTTACTTCCTTTCTCTGCAAAATCATAATTATTGTACTTTTAAAAGACGATATTTGAGGTCAAATAAAAACTCAACCCCTTACATCTTCACATATCCATTCCATAGGTATATACAGTTAGGAAAAATTGCATAAATCCGAATATAATGACATTAATTTGAAATGCTTTCGAAGATTTATAATTTAATTTAAAATCAAATGTTAAAAAAAATATGAGTATACTGCACTGCAGGGATTTAAAATTCTTGTCTCATGTAGCATTAAATAAATTTCAAAATGAAAACTCATGCTGAGCTCAGATATTTGTTCATTTTTGCAATTTTTTTAGAAAAATATTTTGTAGTTTCTAGAGAACTGCAGTACGCTGCATACTGCAGGAATTGTCCTTCATAATGCACTTTCTTTATAAACAAGAACGTCTTTAATAATAATTTTTGCTTGTCTGTCTGTCTGTTTGTGTGTAAACGACAAGAGTAAAAACGGCTGAAATAATCGGGTCCAAGTTTTTTGTGGGACCTCACATGACCCTAGGGAAGGTTTATGGATGACCAAAATTTATCAAATTTGCCTTTAAAAAGTTACGATTTTCACAATATTTTGAAAATTCACGAAAAAATATTATCAAATCTTTTTGTTATTAATTTAAAATGTATGCAGTGCGAAAATGTTCACAGATAAAGCTACAATTAAAGTTTAAATTGAAGTTGTTAGGGCGCTTCGCCAAATTCTTTACGAACAAGAACTTGAAATATCTAGGGCCTGTACTCCAGGGGATGGGACCCTATAATAATTCATCTTCCCCAAAATGGCGTTGTCAAACAAGAATTTTTGACATGATTTAGCGGAAAATACCACCATACAGTTTGATTGGCAAATATTTACTACATTTTACAAAATTGCCATTTTCATAAACTGTAATTCAGTATCTTTTAAAAAAAAGATTTGTTCACGTCCAATTCTTTAAAAGGTTTAATTGCCCCTCGTTAAACAAGCCGTCCAATATTTTTTTCAATCTATTTTTTAACTGTTAAAAATTATGATCGATTATGATTAAGTAACCGCAAACTCTCAAATCTTAGTTCAGTATAATAACCGGTTCTGTAAATTTTGATCAAGGAACTTTGTCCTACTAGCAATAAATAAAATGTTTATAAAATAATGTTTATTCTAGTTTAAGTTGAGCTTGGAATTGAAATTAATAGAATTCTCCGTTTTTATTTCCATTAAATTTCCATTATCAACTTTGAAGCTAACAAAACCAAAAATAGAATTAAAGGAGTTCATTTAAAACAAAAAACTCATCTCTCAAGGTACTTTAGAGTACGGACAAAAAAATAAATCCTAAATTAATTGAAGTTTCAGACGGCAGTAAGTCATTACAAATATTTTACAGAAATTGAGAAGAAAATGAGGAAAATTAAATTTAAAAAGTTATGCACCAAGGAAATTGAACACAAAGTTATTTAAAGGGACTGTAAGCATAATTTCAAGTGACCCCTCATATAATGTCCGATTTACATAGTCCCTTTTAAACCATTGTATGACTGTATTAATTAAATATCAATGTTTAAGTTTCTTTAAACTGTTTTTTTTTCATTTGCGAAGTCGACTTGTGCATTTCTTGCTAATAAGAAGCAAAAGAGAAATTATCAGAAACATTTTTGGAGACATAAAGATGTCCGATTCACAACGGTACCATCTTAAATAGATTCACAACAATACCTTCTAAAATAGATTCACAACGGTACCTTCTAAAATAGATTCACAACAANCTTCTTAAATAGATTCACAACAATACCTTCTAAAATAGATTCACAACAATACCTTCTTAAATATATTCATTTAAAAGTATAACTAACCCTGGTTTATGATCACTGAATAAACATTTTTTTCCTTTCTTTCATGAACTAAATTTTCTTTTAAGAAAAAAACTTTTATTTGCAAAATTAGAAAATGATGATGCGAGAAAAGCTGTCATTACCCGGATTTGCTCTCTAAATATTTTTATACAACAACTGCAGTACGCTATACGTTAAAGAGGAACAAATTATAGAGGTGCAAATTCGCAATTTAAAAACAAATTAAGCTTTTTGCAATTTACTTCAATGATGCAAAGTATGTGTATAAAAAGTAGGTAGATAGGGGTCGAGCACCAGAATATTTTTATCAAACCAATTACAGAGACTGTTTACAAGAACCGTAAAATTTTGACAATTGCGTAAAAATCTAACAATTGTGTACAAGGTATACAATTGCGTAAAAGCCTGAAAATAGTGCAGCAAAAGCTTGAAAATTGTACTAAGGTTTATCAATTGTGTAAAAGTTTCACAGTTGTGCCAGAGTTTAAAAATCGTGCAATGGTTTGTCAATTGTGCAAAAATTCAAGTTTGAAAGTTGTGCAAAAGTTTGTCAATTTTGTCAATAAAAGTTTAACAATTTTGTAAAAGTTTAACAATTGTG